ACCCCGAGTGCCTGGCGGGGAGATGGTGCTGTGGCTGACTGAGTCCTGTCTCCCTCCTGGGGCAGACCCGCCTGGGGAACCAGAACGCAGCCCTCGCGGTGCAGGCCGTGCGCACGGTGCGAGGCAACGGCTTCTGCATCGACTGCGACGCCCCCAGTGAGTGTCCCGGCCGTGGCCCTGGGAGGGGGGCTGCAGCTGCAGAGCTGGCAGGTGGCGGGGGGCCTTCCCCGTGTCCCCTCTCTGGTCACCCTTGCCATATTATTGTCCTCTCCTTGCCTAGACCCCGACTGGGCCAGCCTGAACCTGGGCGCCCTGATGTGCATCGAGTGCTCAGGAATCCACCGGCACCTGGGGGCTCACCTGTCCCGGGTCCGCTCCCTGGACCTCGACGACTGGCCACCTGAGCTGCTGGCTGTCATGACTGCGATGGGCAATGCACTGGCCAACAGCGTCTGGGAGGGGGCCCTGGATGGCTATGCAAAGCCCGGGCCTGAAGCCTGCAGGTGAGCAGATGGGGCCCTGACGTTGGCCAGGATGGGGGACAGCTGGCGCTCCCAGTGTGGGGAAGATATGCTGGGGATAGTGCCCAGCGGCTGTGACAGTGTTAGAAGGGTTAAACTAGCCATTGCTCTGCCTGGCAGTTGGCCCCTTGGGTGCCCCTCCCCCTCGGCACCTGTCACTCAGGCGCCTCACAACAACAGGCCCTTTCTGAGCTGTTATCAGCAGGTCAGGGGGCCAGCAGGAGGCGCATGCGCAGGGCTCCTATCGCTGTGTGGTGCAAGGCCCTGGCCTGTGCTGTGAGATGGGGAGAATGGGTGGTAGATAGGGTCGCTGTGGCCCAGCACGGGCCACCCGCTTTGTTCTAGCACTGCCAATGGGAGAGAGTACAGATGACCAGATAAGCTGCTGCTCGGGCCTGCCTGGATTCTTCCTGCCCTCTCGGCCCCATGTCCCTGCTGCCCCCCTGGGGCTTCCCTTCAGTGTCCCTTCTTTTCACTTATGCCTTCCTTTTACATTCCCCGCTGCCCCTGAATGCCTGGCGTCTCTGGGGCTTCCCTCTCCTCCACACTTTCATGCAACTCGTACCCGGCCTCCCTGTCCCCCACCTGGGTGCTCCATGCCTTCTCAGCCACCTACAGCCCCCGCAGGCTCGGTGCCCTTCGGTGGCTCATGCTTTGACGGACCTGTGCTTGCAGAGAGGAGAAGGAGCGCTGGATCCGGGCCAAGTACGAGCAGAGGCTCTTCCTGGCCCCGCTGCCGAGCTCGGACGTGCCACTGGGGCAGCAGCTGCTCCGGGCCGTGGTGGAGGATGACCTGAGGCTGCTGGTGATGCTGCTGGCCCACGGGTCCAAGGAGGAGGTGAACGAGACGTACGGGGACGGGGACGGGAGGACGGCTCTGCACCTGTCCAGTGCCATGGCCAACGTAGTCTTCACACAACTGCTGATCTGGGTGAGTGGGGGCGCCGCCGACCTACCCTGGCCTTTTTGCCCCAACCTTCAACAGCCCCCCAAACTTTCCTGCCAACTGTGAACGTGTTTCCTCCGGCAGTACGGGGTGGACGTGAGGAGCCGGGACGCGCGGGGCCTGACCCCACTGGCCTATGCCCGCCGGGCCGGCAGCCAGGAGTGTGCAGACATCTTGATCCAGCACGGCTGCCCTGGGGAGGGCTGTGGCTTGGCACCCACCCCCAACAGAGAGCCGGCCAACGGTACCAACGCCTCTGCTGAGCTGCACCGCAGCCCCAGCCTCCTGTGAGGCCCAGGAAGAAGGCAGAGAGGCCAGAAGGACTTCGTGGCTTGGGACCCTCCTCCCCGCAGGCACTGGGGGAAGCGGGCACAGAGCCAGAGAAGCAGGGACACGCAGCCAGGATGAGAGGAGGGAGAAGTCAAAGGGATCCGAGGAGAGGTCTGGGGTTCGAGCTGCAGCAGAGGGAGGGAGCACGGTGCTCGGCCCTCTGCCCTGCAGGGCCACTGAGAAGGGACGGACCCTTTGGAGGTGCCTGTGAGGAGAGGGGGGCGGGACCTCTCCCTCCTCCAGACCCCTGCCTCCTAGTGCCAGCCCCCACAAGCACAGGGCACAGGATGGGGGTGCTGGATGAAAGAGACAAGAGGGTGATCTGTGAGTCCCATGTAAAATTTGTACATTGGAATATTTATGTTTGTGTACATACTTGGTGAGCGTGTATGAGGAGCCAATAAACCAGACGTGTGTGGCCCTGCTTCTCCTTCACACTCCTCCCCTCTGGGAGTGCCCCTCGCCTCCACCTCTGCTCATTTTTGCTGTCTCTGTTCTAAGGCTTTCTCCCTCCCTGTCAGTCAGACCCCAGGCTTCTTTCCCTCAGCCGCCGCCTTGCATCAGTTTCTCTCGCTCTCCTGGCAGCGGTGTAGCCGTTTGTGGGCAGCACGGGGAACCTGCTGGGACGGAGCAGCCCTTCTTCCCCTCGGGTGCTGCCTTCACTGCACCCCTGCCCCCACCACCCCCAGGAAGCTTTCCAGTGGTCTCTGACATCAGTGTCCTACCTAGTGACGGCACGCCACAACCCGGCCCTGGCCACAGTGTACCAGAGGGCAGGAGCATGCCCCTCCCTGGGAGTCTGAGAATGTGCCAGGACCTTCGAGCTGATGCCACAGGGTGGGCAGCTAGCTGCTGAACAAGGCGGCTGGGGCACAGGGGCCTGGGCTTTGCTTGTGAGCAAAGGGGAGGGGGTGGCAGAGCAGCCACCTGGACGCCCACCAGCAGCTTGCCCAGCTGGGGGCAGGACAGGAGCCCCTGCCTTTCTTTCTCAGCATATCCCTCTTCTCCAGGGATCCAGGGGCAACTGTACTGGCTCTTGAAGGGCAAGAACTGGCTAAGTTCAGGTCCCAGCTCGCAGGAGCCTGTTGTTCCCCGTTCCTGAAACCACTCTGCTGGCAGCCCATGTTTCCTGAAGCCTCTTGGGTCCATGGCAGGTGTGCTGGCTGGTGCCCTGCGTGGGCACCTGCCTACATGTAGTAAATAACCAAGTAACGCTACTCAGAGAGGAAACCAGGTTTTATTTCTTTGTCCACGTCCCCTTTTGCAAGGCTGTTAAGAGCCTTACACGTAGATCAGGGCAGAAGAGCCAGGGCCATGATGTGTGGGACTGGGTTCCTGGACTTGGGGAAACTAGCAGCAGTCACCTCCAGACTCCCTCAAGACAAGCCGCTCGGGCCGGCGGGACCCTGCTCAGCCAGGCACAGAGCCAGGGGAGACGCACAGCATCCTTGGTGGTGGCTGGTCCCTCCGGCCTTTCTGCTCAGTGCTCACTTGCCCTCCACACTGGGCGTGGAGCTAGAGCCTCTGCCCCAACCCTGCTGAAGGGACAGAGCTGTCCTTGTCAACCTCTGTCTGACTTATCTCCTCAAGACAACCTAATCCTGTTGGTTCCCTGAGCAGGGTGACTCTAAGGAACCAGGGGGACTTAGCCTTGGCGGGTCAGGCCAGGGACCCGGCAGGTCTGGACTTCAGACTTTAAGCTGTAATCAGAAGCCCAGCTGAAACTTAGCCGAGGGGCACAGACAGCCTGGGCCTAGGGGTCCTCACTCAACAGTAGACCTTTCTATCGTCACTGACCAGCCGCAGCTCCCGGCTGCTTGCTTTGGGAGAAACGGGCTGCTCAGGAAGGGCAACCCCAGTCGAGCCATAARACGAGTCAATGAGACATTGACTGATTTGTCATTCCAGGAGCAATCGTTGGTCCTCTGAGGAGGGTACGGGGGTTGGTGGGGCGTTTGGCTTCCCTCTGACCCTTACTTGAACACCCTGGGTTCCCGTCTTAGTTGTAGCCTGCTGTTTGTCTTCTCCATGGCCTGTTCACACTAGCTCTCCTCTCCACCAAGATGGCCAAGTTCTTCCCAAGCAGCTGGCCTGCCGTGAACCGGCCTCAGCCGGTCTCCCTAACAGTCCCTCTGCCTGCAGTCAGTGCAGTGTGTCTGGAGGGTGTAGCTCGGGTGTTTGCTTTATCCACCAACACCGTCCCTTCCAATCCCACAGCCTCGCTCTGGTCTTCCCCACGGCACACACCTTTCCAGAACCATCACAGACTGGCTCCTGTCCCCTCCATTTGGCAGTGACCCCTCTATGCCCACCTTGTTCTGTAGCAGAAGAGGCTGCAGTACCTGAAGCTTCGGAAACAGAGCACCAGAGATGAGTCCTCCCTCCCTGGGCCCTCGCATCTGAAATACAAAGGGCAGCAGAGGCCACTCGGTTGCTGTGTCCTCTGCACCCAAAGGTAGTGTGAGCGAGCCCCACCCTGCCCCTGTCACTGACTGGACTGGCGACCTCTAGCCAGTTAGCTGGCTCCAACACTCACCAGCCATTGAGGGTCAGGTGCCGTCATTTAGCTTTAATACAAATGGGAATGAGTCTCACCCCCTGGAGTCGGCCACCTCTTCCAAAGAGGCCTGTTTACCTGGAGGAGGAACAGTGGCTGTAGCGGGAGGTGAGGGGTGTACGTGGGAGCAGGGCCAAGCGGGAGGCAGGGGTGAGGGGAGCAGTGGTCCCCTGGAGGCTGCTGGTGGTTCCAGCCATCTCTTCCCACACCTTGCACTGAAGAGATGCTGCCCACGGCCGGCCGAGTGCAGGATGGAATGAACTCTGGCTGAGGCTCGATGAAACAGACCTTTCCCGAAGCTTCTTAGGAGTGCAGACAGACCCAGCTCCGTATATACAAACTTTACATAAAATAAATAAGGAGCTGCCATCCATCTGGGCTGGTGTGGCCCTGGGCTCCTCCATTTGGTCAGAAGCTGTTCCCGGACATCAGCCACAGAACCCTTCAGGCCCCGAGCACTTAAAGCCCCATGGGCCGGAGGGGTCCACCCCAGTCCCAGCACCTCCCTGGTGAATAGACCCGGAGCCCCTGTGGCCCCGAAGCCCCTCATCCTGAAGGTCTCTGGTCTCAGGGCGGGGAGCACCGTGGGCCTCTCCCCGCTGCGGTCCCTCCTGTGGGCACAGCCCAGCCGCAGTCCTTGCTCAGGTCAGGGCCGGGCCCCCTGCTCCATTTGCTGGTGTTGGCTGCGCACAGCGAACCTGTTGACGTGCACAGGTATGGGCACAACGATTTTGGGGTTCCTGACAGGCTCCCCAGAACGGCTGCTCACGTTGCCGGCTTTGATGCGCTTCCACTTGGCCCGGCGGTTCTGGAACCAGATCTTGACCTGCACCTCGCTGAGCTTGAGGGCGTGGGCGATCTGGGAGCGCTCCGTCAGGCTCAGGTACTTCTTGCAGTGGAACTCCTTCTCCAGTTCCAGGAGCTGCTCGCTGGTGAAGGCCGTTCGGCGCCGCCGGCTTTTCCCCCCGGGGGCACTGACCCCCGTGGTCACCGGTGTCCCCTCCTCAGCTCCAGTCCCCAGGCTTCCCTTTAGCTTCGGTTTAGGTCCCAGAAGAGCCCCAGGGCCCCCTGCAGAACTGTCCAGGAAACTGTCGTCCTCGCTGTCACCGCCTGAGCCCTCCTCCTCCTGCTCGCTGCCTGCTGGGTCTCCCGCTGGGGCCTCCAGCTTCTCCTCGTCTGAGCTGTACACCTTCCCCTCTGCTGTGGGGAGCRAGAAACCGATGGATGGGGAGGGAGCAGGCAGGGAAGACAGGGTGAGGGGGGGCAACGGGACCGGCCAGGAATGGGGGGGCAGCGGCAAGAAAGGAAGAGGTGGCAGGAGAAGGGACAGGCACATCCAGGTGGGGAGCGGGAAGAGGGTTAGGGGAGACAACGGGAAGAAAGGTATTAACCAGCTCGAGGTCACCACAGAAAGGGGGGCAGGCAATGGAGTGGACAGTAGCCCCCGGACTTTCCCACCACCCATYCCATTCCCTCTATACCAGCAACCCAACTCTCCAAGCCCAGGACCAAGGGCCCAGTGACCTTCTACACCGGGCCCCAGGACAAAGCAGGGGGACACTGGCTTGGATTTCCAATGTGGGAGGAGAGGAGCCTGCTGTCCCCCCCAGAAGTCCTCATCCAGCCCAGCTCGCAGGAACGGTCCCCAAATTTCCCTCTGTGCAGAGAGACCCTCACACACCTCTGGCCAGATCTTTAGGCTTATCTGCTCCTCCCCACACCCTCCTTAAATATGGGTCCAAGACACTCAAAGCCCTGGGAACTGGARGTCTCAAGCCCCCTTCCCGATCCCTATCCAGACTGCCCAGCCAGGACAGGGGCTCCCAGCCACATGCCATTCCCTTGTCTGTGCCCAACCTTCCTCCCCATGACTCGGCCCCATCCCCTTGTGGTCCTTATCCTGAATTCCAAAGTGACGGAATGGCTCTCCCACCTCCCCTCTCTCCTGGCCAATGCAGACAGCAGCTCCTGCTCAAGCTCAGAATCCCCAGGACCAGAGCCTGACACTGGCCGAGGGCTGGAGGGGATGTGGGGACAGAGTGAAACGGGAAAAACAGGGAAGGAACTGTGCAGAAGGAATTCTGACTCGTTTAGTAGATGAGTGACTATTTATGATCACAGACATACAAACATTTAATCCACACACGATTCTGAAATCTGATTCCACCTTTGGTTTTAATCTACCCAMTGATGTGCTCCTCAGGACTACGACGACTACAAACTCCCTCGTTTTCTGCCCAACAACAGAAAGTCAAAAGACGATCATCCGCTAGGGAAGAAGGAGGCATATGGACGACCTGTGAGCCACGTGAAGRTGGGCACTCACCACACACACCCTCCAAGCCTGCTTGGAGTTCAGAATGCAGCTTGGCTAAACCCAGGGTGCCATGCGGGGCAGGGACACTGCCCAGACACCTCCTGCTGGCAGGCAGGGMTGGTCCTGGGTGTGGTCCCTCCCCACCTGCCTGAGGCCCAGAAGCTTCCAGAGCTGACCTGCTGATCCCTTGCTGCTGATGTGCACACCTGCTGCTCAAGGGCCACGGTGACATTCTCCCTAGAGGCCAGGATCATCTGGCCCTGTTACTACCACACACCCCAGCCTGCTCTGTCTCCTCCCTTCCTCCCCTTTGTCCCGTTCCTGAGTTGACCAGCCACAGTTCAGGCTCAGCCCTGCATTTCCGGAGCCCTGCCCTGATGTGGTGGGGGTGCTGGCCACTGGCCACAGGCTTCCCAACGCCCACCTCGTCTCCTCGCTGGCCACCTGTTTTCCTTCCTGTGAGATCTTCAGCCTGGGTTCCCTCCTCCCTCTCACTGAGGGCTCTTCCCCGCACTATGGTCCATTCCCACACAACCCAGTCCCCCCCATCTCTGTGGAACTCCATCCTCCTGCCTTCAAACCAGATCTGCGGCTGCCCTTCACTCCTCTCATGAAGCACATCCACTCACAAATCCACCTTTCAAATACGCCCAGAGCTGGGCCTCTCCTCCCTGTTGCCTCTGGTCCAAGTCACCACCACCTAGACCGTCAGTGTCCTCTTCTCCTCGCTGGCTTCCATCCTCCTGGATCTCAGCACTGGCCGCTCCCTGCTCCTCCAGGGAGAGCTTCCTGAACATCCCCTTAGGATTYGGACCCCTGACATTCTGATCTCCCCTCTGTGACCTACCTGTCACTATGGTACATGCCACCACCTTTATTCATCCACCCCTCTGGCTGCCGCTCCCTATTAGAATATGAGCTTTGAGGAATTCTGATGTTTTATTCACTGTATCATGAGCATCTGACAATGATCTGCACTGAGTTGGCGCTCAATAGTCAGCTAAATAAGAGAAACGATATCCAGCATCCAGGTGTGTGCTCGCCCCTCTCCATCTCTCTTTCCATCTCCGCTGCTTCCTCTGCCACGCCTCTCCATCACCTCAGCCCCAGTGCCATCAGACACACCCATGAATACCCTACCCACTGCTCAGCTGGCCTCCGGCCTCCCTCACATTCACAGAGGAAGCCCACAGGATCCCAGGAACCTACTGGGTGCTGAAAACAGTGAAGGACAATCCCACAGCATCATTAAATCCTCCGACTTTGATTCTTAAAGCATACCTTGTATTCAATAATAACAGAACGAAGGGTGAAAGCTCATAAAAACAGCCCAGTAAGATGATCTTAAACAGTGCTAAAAAGGCAGCAACTGGATTTCAGGCTTGAAGGATGGAACCCTTCTGTACAGCACCAAGCACCCAAGGGACGTCCCATAAATCTAAGCTGATGATGACTGAGAGGAGGCTCCCAGTTCTGGACCCGGCAGAGCCCTCCCGAGGTCACCTCATCCATCCCTCTGTCTTCAGACATCGGCAAAATCAAGCCCCCCGAGGAGGCTACCCTTAGTGCTGCTTTTAAGGCCTTCCAAGGCGCACAAGTTCACAGTCTCTCCTTCTCCATCCCGGGGGACGGACGCAGAGCGGCAGGGGCAGGAGTGTCTCTGCTCCTTTATGATCATGACATTGAGGACTCAGATAAGGACTGGAGGAATGAGTGGGGGAGGGGCGATGGGCACCACCGAGAGAGGGAAAGCACAGCCACAYGTCTCAGCGGAGCAGCGTCGGGACAATGAGTGAGTCCGGCCAGGAGTGGGAGAGAGGAGGAAAGGCCAAGCAAGGCCGAAGAGCCTGGGGAGGAGTGGGGTGGAGACGGCCTGAAAAAAATGCCGAACCAGCCGAGAGACGGCCAAAAAGTTTCAAGAACCAAGAGAAAGGAGAGGAGGCGGGTGCTGGAGGAGGGGAAGCAAGGGTGCTTTTTAAAAAATACCCCACTTTCTCACCCAGAATATTGCTGCATTTGGAGCCAAGCAAGATGTTCTGGCCCTGCACTTGCTCTTTGCTCCACCAGCAGGGGGAGCYGCAGAACCCCCACAGCCAAAGCCCAGGGTGTGGCCCCGGAACCACTGAGCAAAGGAGACCCTTCCCAAGGCAGCAAGCCTAACAGCTGAAGAAGACATGCCAACTGCTTCCTGTGTGTGKGGGGGGGTAGGTGTGGGTGGATACGGTACTGGAAATTGAACCCAGGCATGCTCTACCAGTGAGCCACACCTGCAGTTCTTTCTATTTTTTTATTTTGAGACAGGGTCTTGCTAAGTTGTTCAGGGCCTCGCTAAGTTGCTGAGGCTGGCCTTGAACTTGAGATCTTCCTGCCTTCACCTCCTGAGCCGCTAGGCTTACATGTGAGTGTCACCTTGCTCGGCCAAATCATTTTATCTGATTCATGATAAATATTAGTAGTAAAAAGGTCAAACAAAACTAAAATGTCACTTAAATTTTTGTTATTGATTAAAAACTGACAGAAGTAGCAAACCTTTCTGAGAAAATTTATGTTTACAAAATTTGATTGACAGTACTTAGATTTGGTAGATAAAATATCCATAAAAGCAAATTTCCAATTGCAGATGTGGTTACTGGTTGATATGAACAACAACAAAAAAATACTTGATAGACCAAAGAAGACTTCATTGAAAATTTTACATGGCAAATAATCATTCTGATAACACCATCAGCAAAATGAAAATCTTAAAACTGGAAACCATTTGACTGTGCTAGATAGGTAGCCAAACAGGCAGAAAGGTCCTGTCCTTTGTGTGTGGGAATATCACTGGTACCAAGGTTGAGTGTGCTGGGTTCCCCTTGTAAGTCTAGTGCCTGCGGGAAAGCATGGTCTCTGGGCAGGGGAATGGCTGGGGCAGGCAGGAGACAGGCAGGGTTCATGATGCTATGATTGGAGGGACAGATATCACAAAGTGTGACTCATAACTGCTCACAGAGTTCATGCCAGGAGCATGAATCCCACTCAAGAGCCTTGCTCAGGCTTCAGGGTGAGTCTGCAAGGGTGGCTTCCCAGAGGAAGGCCAGTGGCCCAGGGACACAGAGCTCCACCTTGGGGTCAGGTCAGGCTGGGGAAGAGACTGAGGGCCACAGACTCCATGGAAGGTATTCCCCCACAGAAAGAGAACACAGCACCACACTCCCACTGAGAAGAAGGGAACCCAGCTGGCCCCTGTGATGTCCCTCATTTATCCAGCCACCGACCCCTGCTCTGTTATCACTTACAGAAAATCAACTAGCTTTACTATTTGTAGATGTCCCTCATGTGACTCTTCTATTTCCAAAAACAGCTTAACAGCCCACCTCATGCCCAGGACAGTGAGCCTCCTCCTGATCCTCCAGGCCAACCTCTCCTGTCCCCATGGTGTCAAAGGTGGGAGAAGGGCTGTAAACAGAGCTCAGTGGCACAGCACTTGCCTAGTATGCTAGAGGCCCTAGTGCCATCCCGTGGCACCACCCCCCCAAAAGGTGGGAGAAAACACAGGTCCTCTGCCATCTCCCCAAAGAGGTGTAGCTGTGATCAGTCCCAGCTCTGGAGGCGCAGTCCATCGCCATGCCCAGTGCGCGAGGCTCTGTTTGGAGACAGATCGCTCTCCCATCACTGGTGGCCACCAGCACACTTCCAGTGTGGCCTGCACCCATTAAGGCCACACCCTCCTCTAACTTCAGGTGCATAAGGAACAGCCCTCCACTTTCTCCTCTCCCCGTGGCTCTTCAGCACTCTTTACTCCAGATACATGCAAGGGTCTTCTCTCTATGGCTGCCTTCCAGAGGGGCCTCCGGTTCACGAGAAGCTCAGGGCTCCTTTCATGGCAGGCTGACCTGGCCC